AAAAAAAAAAAAGTCATGCAGGAAAAGCACAGCGAACACCTTTTGTTGTTATTGTTGTTTGTTTGTTTTGTGTGTATATTTTTGGCCCCATTGTGCAACCTGAACTCTGGGCCTGGGCGCTGTCCCTCATCTCTTCAGCTCAAGGCTGGCACTCTACCACTTGAGCCATAGCTCCACTTCCAGTTTTGTCTGCTTATGTGGTTCTGAGGAATCGAACCCAAGGCCTCATGCATGCAAAGCAAGGATTGTACCACTGAGCCACCTTCCCAGCCCAGCAGAGAGAACTCTTGATGGAGGAATTTGCATTTCTGAAAAAAGAAGTCATGGGGAGAGAACTGCTCAAAGGGTCCCTTCTCTTCACAGGCCAGTTTTAGTCTGCAGACACATTGAACCCCCAGCTCCTTTCCTTGTCCTGGAAGTTACAGGAACATTGACAGCATGCACAGTATTTCATGTATTCTACATTGGATCATTTATTGTTTGGTAATCATTCTTTGAGCATGAGCAGTGGGAAAGGACACTGTTACATCTTCCTGCTCTCATGGTTGGATGGATGCTCATGTGGATATCAGGAACACTTTTTTTTAGAGTGGCTTTTATTAGAGAAAGCAGATCTTTAGGATCCTTGACCTCAATGAGTGGTAAGATCCTTCATCTCCTCATGAGTTCAAAAACAATTCAACCTTATTGTCCTGATGCTTGAGAATGATGTAGGAGACTTGTGACAAGGAGAATAACAATTGAAGTGTCAGAAACTCACATAATGGTCATGTAAAGTTGAAATTACTATCCTCAGTATAGGTAAAGCAATAGAAGTTCACAGGCACTGAGCTCAAGTCATGTGACAGAACCAGGTTGGAAGTTCACTATGTGGCAGGAGCTGGTAGGAGCGGTTCTGTAATATGTCAGGGGAGATGAACTACAGGAGATGATGAGCAGCCTGGAGGGAGCTGATTTTGCTTCTAAGTTTGGTGTTGCCACGAATTTTAATGGATATTTACTTAGAAGTTTTCTGTGTGTCAAGGCTAGGGCTTGAACTCAGGGTCTGGGTGCTCTCCTTAACTTTCTCTCTCAGGGCTACCACTCTACCATGTGCCACAGTTCCACTTCTGACTTTATGGTGGTTCACTGAAGATAAGAGTGTCACAGACTTTCCTGACCCAACACTTCACACCGTGATTATCACATCTCAGTCTCCCAAGTAACTAAGATTCTAGACATGAGCTGCTAGATCCAGCTACAACATCTTTTTGTCTTTCTCTAGAACATGCTCATTGTTTTAAGTGTTAATGTCAGAATAATAAGAAATTGTTGACAAGCTTAATCTAATGAATATGAAGTCTTAAGTTTAGGTACTGATTAAGATTTGGGCTAAGGATGAGGGTGAGCAGTCAGTTTCATGATCAAGCAGAAATTCTAATGCATGCACTCTTCAGAATACGGTTTTGTGAAGACGTAAGGAAACATTTAGCACTCCAGCAGCTTGATACTCTTGAACTAGCTGGAAGGTATTGCTGTTTGCTCCAGCCTTTTAAAATATCATGATGTGTGCCATTTCACATGGAGTCGATAAGAATCTGGGTTTCAGAGCTAGCAGACCATACTTGTTCTCCTCTTGTCAGAAGACTTTAGCATTTTTAGTGACAATGGCAAATAACTCAGGACTTTCTACCTGCTACACATGAGCTATGCCTCAGCACCTTTTGCTTTAGTTTGTTTGCCAGAGGGTCCTGAACATTTACCTGGTGCCAGATTCAGTCAGTGACCTTCCTACCCCTACCTGTGAGTATTGGGACCACAGCCACATCCTTATTTTTTTATATAGAACCTAACTCAATTTTGCCCAAGCTGCTGGCCTTGAACTGTGCACACTCCTCCAGTGTCCATGTCCCAAGTAGCTGGTATTATGGGTTTGCTCTACTATGCCTGGCTTCATAGTGGCTTTAAACCTTTTTTGAAGAGGGTGTGTTTCTGTGTGTGTGTGTGTGTGTGTGTACCTAAGTAGACATGTAGATTGACTATATTTTTAGCTTAGAACTTTGTTATTCTGTATAGCTGAATTTCATGCTATTGCCAGTAGCATGTCTCATTTTACTAGAAAATTTGAAGTTCAAACCTACAAGAGGCTTTCTTATTTGAGGCTACATTTGGCCGCCTGGTAAGGCAAAGTCCCTGTGTCCATGCGCTCTCCCATGCACCTGGCTCCTGCCCTTTGACAGGCATTCTCTTCTTCCTAGTCCTCACAGCACCTGTGATTGCCCACAGTTGGCCCAATGGAAGAAGAGAAGTTTGGCTTTCCTGCATTTAGTGGCATCTCTTGCCTGACCTGGCTGGTATCCCTGTTGGGTGAGCTTTCTCTGGTGTCTGCCACTTTGGAAGAGCAAGAAGAGGAGCAGTATATGCAAATGACTGTGCACCTAGAGACCAAGGACAGATGGTAACTCCTGAGAAACCTGACGAAAAGGAGACTTCGGGCTGTGTCCATTGTATGCAAGGGTGACAACAGAGAAAACCCCAAGGGACACAGCCAGTTGTCC